TACAGACAAAGTAGAAATGATGGATACCACAGACAACCCTCTTGTCACCTACTACTTATCCAGCAGGTTATACTTACACTTTGCATCTTCAGTTTAAAAATGGAATAATCTTGAAGTTAAATCACTTGGAAAACGTACCATGAGCAAGCTTCAAATATGAATGTGTGAAATAAAAATCAAAAGTCTCATAGCAATTTCGCAACGTTTCAAATCAAGTAGTTTTGTATAAAACCATGTAATCCCAATGTCCCAGGGCATTCAGATCGCCGTTACAAACCAAAAAAAGGAGAATGATTCATAATATTCGTAGTAAAGCTTTTCTGGCAAGCAGTTTTGAATATTCTTCTTCTGTAAGAATGCTTTTAGATCAATTTGTGACTGGAAGCTAGACCCACTTCCAGCCACAGACCGATTCAATGTGCTCCAGGGTGTTGCTTGTGAGGAAGACCTCAGCTTGCATTATGCATTGATAAATGCGCTGAAAAAATGGGCGGAGTCATGGCCCGAGTACGGTAAGCCACAAAATTTTTGAAATTCTAATTAATGTTTATAATAGTCTCTAAAAGGTGAGTGCCATATCGCTTGTCAAGGAGATGATTAGCTCATATAGTAATTTAATTTCTAAGTTTATTCTCTTAGATATGTATACAAAAAATCATTATCTCATAGACTGTTTTTCGTTTCCGAATTTGTACCAACAGATTACAATGATCTTCAATAGCAATTTTTTGATAGTACTGCCAACCTGATATGATATTTTTAGACATGAGCGCAAACTTTTCCTGTGAAGATTTACCGCTACCATTCGAGTTTCCTAAGCAATATTTTATCAACGCTTTCGTTCACACTCGTAACCAGATCGAAGTCTTCTTCCCACACTGGTTAGTAGCACGCTTCGGTTATTTCGTAATTCTTTGGTGAAAAATCAAATTAATTGATCTTTTCTAGCACGAAATCCTACATGAAAGATGTTATAATGAAATTTGACGAGGAAAGAGCTGATAAGGAAAACTCTGCTGGACTGCTACAGTTCACAGTTAAAAATGACGTCATTGTCGCATATCGATCGATTATTGATCAACGTAACAATCGATTGGCTGTTGTTGGAGTACAGTGGAGAATGCCGTATGCAAACGAGTTGTTTGGAAATTGGA